GTAATAGTTGTAGTAATAGTTGTAGTAATAGTTGTAGTAATAGTTGTAGTAATAGTTGTAGTAATAGTTGTTGTAATAGTTGTAGTAATAGTTGTAGTAATAGTTGTAGTAATAGGCCTACTTCTACCTAAATCCCATGTTATGTACGGTGCTTACAAAAACAATGCATAAAGCATGAAGAACGATGTTCTGTTTATCGATTATTTATAGTGCTTACTGAGTGGTGGCTCCAAGAATAGGGTTTACCGTTTATCTAAAATGTACATGTTGCACCGTATTTCGAAATTTTACTGACAGTTGTGACAGTTTTGTGTTTTTTGTTGTTGTTTTTCGTAGGGGGGGGGGTGCTGTTTTTTTTTGTTTAATGCATACGTTCAAATAGATCTGGACATGGAGTAAAGGAGAGGAACCAAGAAGTGAGATGGGCTGGCTGCCAGTCTTGATATCCTTTCTTGGCACGGGTTGGAGCTAACTTCTGCGCCCGGGCACTTTTTCAAATCTTCCTAAATTATATGAAATTCTTCTTCCCCCCATTTTTATAATGATCGTAGCAACCGCATCTTTGTATTCATTATTGTAACCTTAAGCGCTTTAGAAGAGTCGCACGAGTAAGATATCCGTTTCCTGTTTTCTCAGATGTGCAATTACTTTTCACCAGTGTTTTCGCCTGCTTTCTTTCGCTAAATTACCCGAGAGTGTTTCTAACCAAATGACTTCATAGATATTACATACAAATACAAAAGTGGTCTCTTATCTTCGTAAATAAAATAGACTGCGCCTTTTCCAGCCTTATTTCTTTAACAAAAAAAGATATTTGCTTACATATTAGATACTCAAGACAATTGAGTCACAGAATTGCTGTGTTTCTATCTTCGGAAGCAAATAGTATATTTTGGTATAGACGATCTTTTTCCTATTATAAAAGTGAAATCATTAATCAGTCTAATCTGATTCCCCAGGCAAAGACGACAATGTATGCAGATTTTCAAAGAGATGGGCGTGCCGGGCCCAGAACCAAACTTTCTTTTTGGCAATCTTCTGGAATTTCGGAAAACTGTGAGTTATCTGAAGGAAAAATAAGTTTGTCTTCCAATTGAATAATTTAATTTAAACGTTTCAATTATTGGTTGGATATCTTGATTCGTAGAGTATTTAGCAAAGTTTACGATTGTATGAAGAGCAGGTTAAACTAGTTCATCATCATCATCATCATCATCATCATCATCATCATCATCATCATCATCATC